ACAAGGGAAAAGTATGTTTAGTAACACTGTAAAATGTGAATGCAGATAGGAGATGTGCTTTGATTCTCGTCGAGAAGATCGTCCTGGAATGACATGTGAAGTAATGAAATTTATTAGGAATAGGAAGCTTTTAGATAAATATTATGAATTAACATTAAAATAATTAGTAATATAACGATGTCCAAAAATTTATAGCGCTCATTCAAAAAAAGAGGATTGCAATCAAATGACATATTATCAATGCCGTTTTTAATTTTGTTGGTTATTCAAAGAATGATACACACGAATGAATTTTGATTCTGATAATTGTTTTGGTTGTCCAGGTAATAAAATTTAACATTGTTAGTTTAGCTATGTTCTTATAATTTATCAAAGGAATATGTTAAAATTGACAGAAATCATGGATTAGGCTTGTAATTTTTGTGAATTTCAATATGTTCATAATCTGCCAAATTAGGACTTTGCAGTCATAATCAAAAAAGCACTCTATGAAAAGTATTCTTCTTCTTAGATTATATATATTCGAATCATCAATGATTTAATCTTTGCTCGTAGAAGTCGAAATTACAAATGCATTTAAAGATTATCTCTTTTGGGATTACCATGATGAGTATATGCACAACTACTTTCATACTCAAAACCATTGACTATACGATACTATCAAATCTAATGTATTGTTTCTAACTTAAAATAGATGAACAGTGCCAAAAATTTGTGCCCCACATATTTCATACTCCTATTGCTAAAACAATGGACAATTACTATCAAATATGAATTCCATTAGCATTTCAACTATTATTATTAGTTAATAATAATACAGTTCATAAGGATCGATCTTTTTTATTAAAAACCAACTTAATGAAATAGTCGCCAATAGTTCGTTATCATTTCAAACTATTAATAAGTACTTATGAAATTGATGTTCTAGTAAATAGGTTCAATTTAGATAGATAAGAAATTAAAAAATTGAAATCCAAAAAGAATAGTTAAGCACATTCAATTGACCAAGAAACTTAAACTCAATTATTTAGATTCATTCCTATCATTTATAATAAAGAAAAATAATAATTTTTAAAGATTATCAAACAATAGAAGGAAACAGAAACAAGTTTCAAAAAATAAACAAGATAAACTAAAGTAATTTGAAGAAAGATTGAAAAATATACCTACTGGTAAAAACCCCTACCTCAAAGTATGTCCGGAAGAATAGACTAACAAGTGGAAATAAATGTTGCTAAAATAATAAATGACATATATATATTATATAAATATGGGTTCTTGTTAAAGTATTTCTAAGTTTCAATACTTCTTACATTTTATTTCGGCAAGTTTAATGGTAATAAGTTAACCAAAAATCATTTAGTTGAATAAGAACTTAACAACTTCAGTCTAAATAAGAAAACTAAGTATCTTAACTGAATTAAATTGTTTAAATATTACTGAATACTCTTGGAAATTCTGAATAAATGGTTAAAAAGGTATTTTTGAAAAAGTGGTAGCATGTGATAGAAAAACTGCTTAAGGTTAGTGTTTCGTTGATTCTCAGAGAAACATTTCGTCTGAAAAGCCACTTGCCAAGATAAAGCTTGTACTGAAGCAGATGATTCCTCTGATTTTGATGATGATACTAACTGTTAAGGATTTTCTAAAAAATGTGCATTAATATAAAGGATATGTGCTTTGAAATAAATTACTTGAAGCTATTAAGAATTAGAGAGCCTGTGAAATGCATACAATCAATAGAAAGTAATAATGTAATGTGGTCGGAATTCTTGAGCATGTGCTAATGCAGGATCATTTGATTTCACTAAGGTTACTAGAACAGGATTTACAGCTTTGTATATTTAGATGCCGCTTGTTCTGTGAATTCTAATGGTTCAGCTTGTATTGTTGCTAAAGATAATTTTACTTATGATTCAGAAGAAAAATTTATTTGGGCTAAAATTCATAAGCATTTTTAATGTGATCTTGATGCTGGTAGTGATTATTGGAAAGAAATAGAAGCTGCAACTAAATACTTACACTACTGGATCAAAATGTAATCCAAGCTGTGCAGCACAAAACTTAGTTTTTTTACAGAATTGGAATACTCCTCCAGATTGAAGACATGTACATCAGATGGAGTTATGTGTGTTATTTTAATGATTTAAAAGTTCTATCAATTGAAGTTGTAAGCATAATCAGTTTTGTGTGTGTAATAAAAAATCATGCAAGGAAAATTCGATATTATCTTAAAATTATTCTAATCATAATATTATTATAAAATATTAGATTTATGCTAATTTACTTTAATAAGTATAATTATTAAGAATGTATAACCTTTAATAATGTGATGATTTT